CACACACAAATATATTGATTCTTATAAATATTTATTGATCATTATTAATCCTCACTTTAGCAGTTGGTAATGGTAACTGAATATTCTATCATCATCATCCGGTGGTACTGCTTGCACAGATTCCTGTGACTCTTTGTTGCAATCCAATTCTATTCTTCTTATTCAGCATATTTGGCAGGTCAGAGAAATTTCAGTCTGTCTTCACAAATCTGCTTGATATAGGTCTTGGCTTGTTGTCCTCTGCAAGATCTTTGCATAGGCTCCCATGAAAGAACTTCACTAACAATTTCATCTTTAGCTCTCCAGGGTATGTGGGTATTTTAAAAATAGCTCATGGAGTGATGACTGCTCCTTGCATAGTTACAGACTGCCCTTTGGCAAAGCATAACATCTGTTCAGCTACCCTTCCAGGAATATGGTGAAGTGATGGGACTGCAGCATGATGGATTGTGAAGAGGAAGCAGAGGAGATCAACTGAGCTATTGGTGCATCTCGCATTGATGCTGAATAGAGGAATCTTAGAAGATCAATGGTCAGGATCATCAAGCTCTATTAAGAGAGTTACCTCAATGTAACCATAAGGATGGTGTCAATTGTTGTATAATCAGATAATGAAGATTAATTATAATTCAAGTTCCAAAGAATATTCTATCATGAATATTTTTCTAGTTAAATCCTACTGAATAACGGTTATTGCTATCAAAAGGAGTCAGTCAGTTCCAATCATTTTATTCAAAGTGAATTAGAATATAATAATTTCAAGTCAATAACTTTTGTATGAATTTCAACATGATATGACCTAAGCCTGATGAGGCTGTGACCTTGTACTCTACTGGATATCTACAGGGTTAATATTGGAGATAGTTTACATTGTTTGAACTGTTATCCTCATCTTTTTTGTCATATTCATGACACTCTTCATTCTTCAGGTGATATTAAATGAAATTTCAAACCAAACCCTTTATTTAGTCCATGGGGATAAATTATTCTAATTCCATGTGCCATGCATTTGGGTATCTCAGTTTCAGTTAATTTCCTTTTCTAGGCCGGAGCATACAACAGCCGAAATGGGGGATATGCCAATAAAGATTAGGACAACAGTTTGAACAATGTAAATAGTGTAAATAGTTACAATACTTCATCTCAGAAATATAGACAGAAATAGTTTAATATAATCTTCTATGTGCCATGTCCCCTCAGGACTTTGGCAATCATAGGTATGTACAATTTCCTGTCCTTTTTGTTATCACTCCTAAACCCTGTTTTGCAATCCATTGACACAAGCTCATTAGGTAGCTAGGTTACTGACTGTTTCCCTCTGTCCCTCTTGCCATCAATCTGTTTAGTGAGTACCAAATTTTCCAAGCCCTCTTTTCTCATTATGTGCCTTAGAAATTTCAACTTTCTGATAAGTATAAATGTTTTTTTTATTTCCATTTTCTCTAAAACTTTGTCATTGCTCTCATATTTCTTGTCTCTTCTTCATCTGTTAAGAGATTGCCCAGAATTCATGTGTATTATCATATATTGTGCTTAATATTCTCAGCCAGTTATTATTAAAGGACCCTATCCCAAACTAATCACAATAAGTAGCTTTCTCCATTGTTGGATTTTTCCATAATTATACCTCCTATATAGAAGAATAACAAATATTTTTCTCTCTTTATCATAATTATTTTTTTATAAATATTTTTCTTTCATCTCAATCCTAGTTACTTTTCTTCACATCTATTCAGAAATATAGTGGATTGTAAATAAAAGGAAGCTTGTTTAACCATATCAGCTGCTCTGCCAATTATGCTACAAGATCTCTTATGGTTGGCAGTAGATCAGATCTAACCATTTAAAACTCTTAATATTAATAGTTGGCAATGATTCCTTTTAATCATTTCACCTCAAGCAAATTGATAAGGTCACTATGATACAAGGGCTTACTGAGAGTGAAAGGGAATGAGAAGACTTACTGAAGAGAAAGGACAATAAAAGAATGGGATTCAGGAACATGATGTTGCATTCCTTTTATGTTTTTAAAGTGTGTGAAAAGATCCTATTAGAACATCTAGCAAGTTCAACAGTAATAAAAAGATTTTAAAAATCATTAATAAATTTTCTTTCTTTAGCTAAATATTTCCTTGTCAATCTGTTATTTCTAAAGGATGAAAAACAATATAGTCAGGTAATTAATGCATATAAATATAAATACTTATACCTTATCCTCTCTATGGTTTTAAAAGTCATATAAGATAATGTTATAAGCAATCTCATCTAAATAGACTGCTAAGACTCCATTTTAATAATCTCTGTCTACAATTGGTACATACAGAATGGATGGATTACATATATATATTTGTAGCTATATTTAATGCGACTCTTTATATATTTTTACCCAATGCTATAGTATATACACATACATAAGAATGTGTGTATGTAGATATATGTTTATATGCTTATATACCAATATATGTAAAAATTCTAATATAACAAAATATATCTGCAAAAAGACGAAAGAAAAACTTTTCTTTACCATCACGTTTCGTCCTCTGATGGACTTCATCATGGTGAATGTAAGAATTTTATTTGGCAATATGTATTTATAAACAAGTAAAATATTGTTAGGTTTTAAAAATTTTTACATTTAAAAATGCTCGAAGATATTCTTAGTGTTGCTCACTATGAAAATAAAGGTTAACTCTGGAGAATGCTAATTAATGTAATTGAATACCTAATAAACAAAAGTGAGTAAACAAAAGTGAGTAAACAAAAATGAGTAAACAAAAATGAGTAAACAAAAATGAGTAAATTTTTTTATATTTATTTTTTTAATATACCTTTACTATCACAATTACATTTATTTATTTTTTCATAAATAAAATTAATCTATCCACTATCATAACAGTAGGTTATAAATATTAATATTAAAATGTTATGGTAAGTTTTCAATTTGTGCCTAACGATTGCCACATGCATGAGACTTATAGCAAACAGTGAGAAATAGATGTATATTTATTAGCAGTATAAATTTTAGTACTGTTGTTTTACATTAAGCAATGTTTTATTACAACCGGCAGTCACTGTGTACAATTTTATTTATATAATTATATCTGCGTATCATTGTATTGTTTAAGCATCTATGCAGCATAAATGGTATATTGGTCATGAATGTAGGACATAAATACGAGCGAAAAGTCAAAAATTATCTGCACTCATAACATAGATATGTTATGGCAAAAGTGCAGATAAATTTTGATTTACTCTTATATATTGTATGTAAAATTAGACATATTACAAACATATATATGGCTCTGTATTAAAGTATTAGACACACAACTTATGTAATCATGAATAAACACACACACTATATATATATATATATATATATATATATATATAATGAAAGGTTTTGTAATCCGTATAGATAATCCCAAGGTGGATGTAATCCAAAGAGCCAATGTCAAACCAGAGCAATGATTACTTCAATTTAATTAGAAAACAGACAATGACCCTTAAGGTTGTCTGTTTTCTAATTAAATTGAATTAATTATATATATAGATGTATAGATATACATTTATATGTATAGATATACACTTGTGTGTATATACATGTCTATAATATATATATATATGTGTGTGTGTGTGTGTTTATGTATGTGTGTGTGTTTGTCTATTATATATACATATATACTTGTGTGTGTTTGTCTATAATATATATAATTACTTATGTGTGTGTATGCCTATAATATATAGATAGATAGATATACTTCTGTATGTATGTCTATAATATATATATATAGATATACTTACATGTGCCTGTATATATATGTCTATATAGATATATATACTTATGTGTGTATATATATGTCTATAATATCTATATATATATATATATATATATATATATATATATATTTATAGATATTCTTATATGTGTATATATATATTTTTATGTATATATTTAGATATACTTATATGTTTATATGTCTATAAATATATATAGTTATCGATATACTTATGTGTATACATATGTCTATATATATATATATATATATATATATATATGTGTGTATATATGTCTATAAATAAATATATATATATATTTAAAGATATACTTATGTGTGTGCATATATATATATATATATATATATATATATATATATATATTTGTAATATAGTTGGAATGGAATGTCTGTCTTGTGGATTTTGTGTGTGACATTTGTACTAAACAACTTCTTCTTACTTTTGTGTGTCAGACTTGGCTTTCTAGTTGATTTAATCTGTTAGGATGCCACTACTTTGGTACAAAGCTCTTAGCTGAATGGATATCTTAAAGTATAGCATTCTGTTCATTTCTTCATGTAAACAAGTAATGCTGACTTGGCTTTCAAGTTTAGAAAAATGATTCACTTTTACATAGGCTTAGAGAACTGGATTTTGAGCAGGTATATTTTTTAAATTTATTTTTTATCCATTTTGTTTTTTTTATTTGATTTTTCCTTTTCAGTCATAGCTGCACTTTTATAACATAATTCTATAATAAAATTGGAAAAAACTATAAAATTAATTTTATTATGCTTCTCTTGTTAACCCATTAACAGGAGGCAATGGATAGTGGCTCAGATTGAGGAATCTGGGAGCTGAGTTCGAATTCCAGTTGAATCCACTACATTCACTTAGGTGCTAATATCCTTGGGAAAGGTATGAATGCTCTTCTTCTCCCCCAGCTATGGGTAAATAGCAGGACAGACCGGGTTCTATAGCCTTGGATGGCAACTGGTCTACCGCAGAAAAAAATAGCAACCTACTGCTGTGAAAAATTTGCTTCGTCAGTCATGTATCAAAAGATTGCCTAAGTGTATATCACACATGGCACATAAGAAGTGGATTCCTACCTTTCCCAAGAGTATTTGCATGTAAGTGAATATAACAAACCCTTCTCAAATTAGAACTCTGCTCTCTGATTTTCAATTCTGATCCATTATCCATTTTACCACCTGCATATCCAAGCTTGCAGCACCTGGTATTCCCAAGTAGTCACCCATCTAGGTACTCACCAGTCTTGACATTGCTTAACTTCGGAGATCATATGAGAATCGGTGTTTCAATGTGATATGGCCGTAATCTCAGTGCTGTCATAAGACGCCATGTAATAATGATTGAAGTGACCATCTATCATATTTTTTTTAATGATATCCATTCAAGATGTAGGTAGTGATAAATCAACACAGATTCTGTTTTTGTCATCTGTGAATTGTTATGTCTTTTTAGGAAAGATAGTGTAAGTCTTTTCCTGTTGTTCAATAAGTTCTCCTTCTCTTAGAATGGATACCATTCAAGGCTGAATAGCCCAGTCTACCATGCCATTTAACATAATTAGAGAAATATAAGAGATGGAGTCATGCCTTTCCTAAGGGCATTAGCACAAACATGAATGCAACTATCTTCCCCTTTGCATGGCCTTGGTGTTTACATCTAGGGTATTATTCCTATAACCAGGGAATTGTCTCTCAAGGCCTCAGACAATTTTTTCATGTGCTTCCATTTTTCATTACTTAACTCTGTTAGCTATCTCTTTTTCCTTTATCACTCCTCCTCTTCCAAAAACTGCAATATATTAAACATATCTGAAAGTATAGAAAAGGCACTTTCTCTCTATCCATCTGTGAACATCTTAAACATTCTAAATGTTATTCAGACATTAAAGTTTTCCATTTCCCAATCCCTTATTAAAATCATGGATTTCACTATTTGTCTCCCTATCAAAACTGAGCAACAGGCTTCTCTACTTGATTTATTTCTTACCCTCTCTCCTCGCTCTTGCTGAGCTTCGCAATAGTGCCCTCTTGGTAATTCAGACCACTTTGCGGTATCTGTTGATATTTCATTCCAAATAACTATTAAACAGGAACCCCTGATTCATATGATCTCTTTCCATTACCAGCATGCTGATTGGGACTGACTCCATGATTTTCTTTGTGACACCCCTTGGACTGATATTTTTAACCTTTCAATTGAGAATTGTGCCACTGAGGTTTCTTCTTGGGTCAAAGCCGGCATGGATTCATTCATCCCTTTTTGGAAATACCCTGTGAAACCTCAATCCTATCCATAATTCTCATCAGCATTCTTGGCTGCTATAGCACACAAGAACCACTATTTTCAGCTATACCAACATGACAGCTCCCATCACAACAGACACGTATTCCTTGCTGCTTATAATAAATGTATACAAGTCCATAAAGAAGCTAATTCTCTGTTTGCCAAGAGAATGAAGCACCGTTTTGGCTCTTGTGATTACTGGCAGCTCTGTAATAGGGTATTAAATAAGTCAAAAGTCTCTATTCTGGCACTATTTCATCAATTTGAGGTGTTACTATCCTCTGCTGAGAAAGCTGAATGCTTTGCCCATAAATTCTCCTTAAGCTCTACTCTTGATTTTATCTGAATAATCTCTGCCTAACTTCCCATTTAGAAGTGAGTCTCTGTTAAGTGATATGCATATAACCTCTTTCATAGTTTCTGTTATCATCTCTAACCTAGAGCAACACAAAGCATATGGACCCAATATTATCCCTGTGATATTAAGAAATGTGCTGCCAAACTGGCTCCTGTTCTTTCTAAACTGTATAATAAATGCTTCATACCTCCTCCTTTGGATAAAAACGGTGAAGCCTAAGCTGTAGCTATGGACATCTTGAAAGCCTTTGACAGGTTTTAGTGCACATGTCTCCTCCACAAGCTGAAAAATTATGGTGTCTCCAAACACATTTTTGAATTGATCCAACTTTCCTATCAAATCATGACATGAAAAGTTGTCCTGGACAGCCACTTGTCTAGATCCTTTTGTACTAACACAGGTTTTCTCCCAGGGCTCCATCCTTGGTCCTACTCTGTTTTTAATTTTCATTAATGACCCTCACAATTCCGTTAATTGGAGCAAAAGAGTAATCTTTGTTTACTGTTTGTTCTGTTGAGTGTTATCATGTCATTTACAATGCACTGTCTTATATTACTGCTGTTTTGTTTTTGCATCATGTGTTGTTGCATATGCTTATATACTAACTTGTCTATACACCTACCTGAACACCTTGCATATAGATTTATCTCTCTTCAAAATGTGTTTCTTAGCAACAGCATACTTATATAGCTACCAATTTACCTGCTTATCTATCTATAGGCCCGGATGTGTGGGTATTGTAAGGGATACTGGCTAAAATGAGAAATCAGAGAGCCAAGTTTGAATTTAAAGTTTTCATTACATTTCCCCAGCTATGGGTTACATAGTAGAACTTGTATTTGGAAAAATCATTGTTATCTCAAATAACTGTTACTTTCAAAACAAAAAAAGAATTATTGTTACAATTCAAAAAACGTTTTTGTTTCAAATAACCTAGAAGCCATAAAAAAAACAACAAATCAATATCTATAAGTGTATATCGACTCATCTTATCAAGATATCAGTTAATTCTAGTTTTGTCTAAACTCTCTCCTAGTCCCTTCATGTTTATCCTAATTGGTGGCTAAAATAGACACATACTTGCCTATGGTACCCATGGCTACTATTTGTATCCTTGTAAAAACCAGATATTTTAAGTATTGGTTCTCAAGTTGGTAAGCTTTTACAAGATTAGTTCAATAGACTCTTTCAACTCCCTACCCGGGCAGAGTTATCATTACATTTATATACAATAAAGTCTTTGATTACTTTAAACTATTGTAAATTTCTAATAAGTGCCAGCCGATAAGTTTTCTTCAGATTAAACATGAAGTTGTCAGTTTATAACTTTTCTACAAATGAAACATTGACCCTAGTGATTATATTTTGTTGCAAGTGGGATGAACCCCCAAAAATGACCATTTAAAAGTTTTTGGCCAGACTTTTCTGGTTTTATCATTAATGTCAGTGACAATGTGAAAAAATATTTGTATATTAGAAATGGTATATTACAGACTTTTTTTTCTTAAAATTATTGAAAATTCTTATCCCAAATTCTTGCATTCTGTCATTGCTTGAAATCATGGTGAAAATTTCCAAAGAAATCATGAACATTGTGGAGATTGTCAAGAATAAAAGCCAACAATTGGAATTTTAGTAAGTGAAATTTCAGAAATCTTCTTGTAATTTAAGGTATTAGGAGTGTTTTAGATTGGCCAAGACATGAATGCCTTAGGATGCTATGGAAACTGATCAGAGCAACAAAACTTTGGCCAAATAAAACTGCAAGACAAGTGAAGAATAAGTGAAACTTGTAAAATTTGGTGTTAGTAGATATCATTAAGTGCATACGTCAAGAATATTCACTGAAAGGGTGGATTTTACTGAAGAAATGAGTACTAAAAAAAAAGAATTTGAATACAAGATTAAATTGGTCAAAGGAGTATATGTAGAGGATGTAGGGGCTTGAAATAAGATCATATTCAATAATTAAAGTAAGATGCAGCTGAATTCTAATAAGTAAAAATTTGTTAAGAGGTCTACAGGAAAGAAAATGGACCCATGTGACATGATGAAAACTGTGAAGTGTTGGGGATAAATGAATAATACTTCACAAATATATAACAAGCTATTGTCCAGGAAAGTTAAAATTGTCAGTAGCTTGCATAGTGTCAAATAGATCCAATTGTTGAACAACCATATGATATCAGATTTAGATGATGATGGTGAAATTGAGCTCCATGCCTCAGATCATGCACAATATAACAGTCTGGCTAATGGCGTTGCTGTATTAAAAGAATGGCCCGCTCAGAGCCCTGATATTATTGAGCAAATGTGAGTAGAACTGCAAATAAAATGTTGCCCAAAGAATCCATACAACATTGTGGTACCCTCAGCTACAGAGAAAGACATCACATACATGTGAAGATGGTGAAAAAATCATGAACATCATTTTCCAGAATGAGGCAATTAAAGAAGGATCTGCAATGTAATTGATCCTGACTTGGCATCTTGACTTCAGTCACTTTCTTCTTGATGTAACATGGTTTCCCTGTTTTTTCTACAAATATTTTCATTGCAGCTCTGACAAGCTTTTTTCCCTAGTGCCTCAACTATGTAGAATGTAAGCGTGCTACTAGATTGGCATCAAGGTCTTACCCATTTACTGTTGAAATAGTTAAATGTAACTACCACTTCTACTCCAACGGTTTCTTTTCTTGCATTCCCACCTGTAGAACTCCCTTCCATTTACTTGCTTCCCTGATAACTACAATTTTCAAAAATCTTCTGTTTTCTTGAATCCCGTTCATCTTTTATCCTTTCCTCAATCCCGCCACGCCCAGTCTTTTCTCTCACCTCCACTCTCTGTGGAACTAAGGAATGTAGTTTGTCTGAACACTTCCCATAGAAAGAATGAGAGAGTAATGAGAGACTTGCAATGTTGTACCTATGGGAAAGGTATTATTGCGCAGGGGAGGACACAGAGACACTTTTGGACATTATTGAGATTGGAAAGTAAGGACTGGGCAGCTCCTACCCATATATGGCATTAGTACTCTATTTTGGGCCTGATCTGGCTCTTTTATTTTATTTTTTTTTTTTTAAAGCAATTCACCCCAAGCAAGGTGGGAGTGCTACTAGCACACCAGGGGTTACAGAGGATTAAGAACGAGAGTAAAGAGGTATGTTAGAGGAAAGGATTCAGAAAAGGACAAAGCTCAGGGTGTCAGATGTTGATTGACATTATACTTGAATAGTTGAAGATTATAGTCATCGAGGAAGCAAGTAAGGAGAAGGGAGTTCCACAGACTGGAAGTGCAGGAGAAGAAGCTGTTTGAGTAGATGAGATGATTACATTTAACTGTTTTGACAGTGAAAGGGTGGGACGCCAGCCTGGTAGCTCGCTTAAATTCATGCATTCTGGAAACCAGTGAAAGTAGCTCACTGGAACAGTTGCTGTGAAAATACTTGTAGAAGAGACAGAGGGAGGCCATGACATGTCTGTGGGATAGCGATTGTAGACTAGATGCCAGATAGTTGCCATCTTGCATATTCGTCTCTGGATTTTGAAAGGTAGAGGATATCACAAGGAGTTAGGTACTTAATGGAGTGGTATGAGCTCCACATGAGGACTGGGTTGAGTTTAAGGCCCAATAGGTGTTCAAGGCATGGGATCACCTTGAG